TTCAAAGCTGTCCAGAAGAGAACACTCTTGTGTAACGCTGAGCTATGGTGGTGGTGGGACGAGGAGGGGGGAGGGCGTCTGTCACTTTGTTTCAAGGGGTTTTTAGATGGGCACCTGTGGGTACCGCGGAAAGGTGGACTCATGGTGTTACAGAACTGTTTGTCTGCATCTCTTTTCCTATTTATTATTTAACTGGTCATTCCACTTCCAGCCAGGCTGCAATCAAGGTGACCTCCGCTCCTAGAAGAAACCTGGACTTACACGCACAGTTGCTTGTCCTTGAAATGAGTCTCACCAGCACACTTGCTAGCAAGCCCTCTCGCTTTTTGTACGCTACTTTTTCTCGGTGATAAAACAAGACACCAACCGGCCAAGTGACTGGGCAAAGGGGTGGGGGTGGGGGGAGGCTCTCTGGACTTCCTGTATTTATTAAATATTGTTCCTCTTCAGCTCTGACCATGTTGCTGTGTCATTCTCTCAATTGGTTTAATTGAGGCAGAAACCGAAGCTCTACCAATGAACTGTTTAAAACTAAGACACATTTTTGTATTAAAATTGCTTGCAGTAACAACAGTCGGTCTCGCCTCTTATTTAATCCCAGCTTTACAGCAGAGTCTGGAGTGGAAGGCGCGGGCAGCTGTCCGGGAGTCTATGACGGATGTAGCCAGAGCACCGCAAAAAAAATGTTTTCCCGAGATCTCCCATCCTTCTGCAATGTCTGTGCTTTCGCCTGTGATGAGGGATTCTCCCATGAGTGGTGTCCTCCATGCAGAGCCCCCTAATTTGGCCACAAAGTGAAGGGGGGGTCCTGCACAGACTGGTCGCAAAGTCTCCAGACAAACAAGCAGCCATGCAGCTGGCACCGAGCCTGCAGCGTCCCCATTTGAGAGCCAGGACCCGTTTTCCCCACCACATTTTCCCTCAAAGCCTCCCTGAGGTGCTCTTGGCTCGTTCCCGCCATGGTGGCATTTGAACTCGCGCTTGGCTGAGGAGAGGGCAAAGAGGGGAGCAGTTGGCTCTAGGGTGGAACAGCCAAATAGCGAAGGGGGTTGAGTTGCACCCATGTAAGAGGCAACAGGCAGGAGGAATGGGACGACCAGGGGCTGAGGGCTGTAGGGCATCAGGGCACGCTCCTCCAGGCCGCACGCGTGCAGCCCCGGGGTGGCGCTGCCTGAGGCGGGCTTGGTGACACCCAGGGACGCGTGTGCTTCCAGGGCCGTGACCTCCCTGGCTGGCCTAGGCCGGGTGCTCTTTCTTCCTGTACTTGTGTGCCCTCAGGGAGAGAGGGACGCACTTTGTCTGGGCTACCGAAAGACAGGCAAAGCACTACAACTCTCGGTTCCAGCTGCCGGAGTGTGGCCGAAACGCCAAAGGGGGCTTGAGCCGCCGGCCCCAGAGCAAAGCAAGCCCCTGCCCTCGCTCCCGGCCGCCCGCTACCCGCCCTCCACCAGCCCCCCAAACC